ATAAATTTTTCTAAAAACTATAAAAATAAAAATAAAAAAAACAGCTCCAAGTTGTATCTAATATAAAATAATTACAAATATACTTGCAAAAATTCTCAATTTACTTGATGTAAAAACTGTTTGAAAAGTTGATGGGGGAGTTGATGGGGAGTTTAATAGGGAGTTTACGAAAGAAAAAAATTTTTTTAATGCTACTTTTTGTTGAAGTAATTTCTTAATATCTGTCATATGATCATATAGCACAAGTGTGATCATTTTTGCAAAACTTAATTTACCTAATTTTTATTAAATTATTGTCAAATTCCTTAATTTAGACGAATTTTGTTAATTCCGCAGATCGGCGGATATGCTTAGATAAATCATATGATATTTGAAAAAAAAAACCCTCAGGCGACATTTAAAAAAAGTATATTTGTTTGAAGTGTTTTTTCTTTTTATCATTAATATTATTAAATAATTGGCATAAAAAAGTTAGCATTATTTTAAAAACTTTTTAATTTATGTTATATATGAATATTATGATTATATAATAAGAAATTTGTAAAAAAATTTTTATGAAATTAAAAAAATATTTAAATTAAAAAAAAAAAATGCTAAAAATTAAAGTTAAAAATGGAATCAAAAAATACCAAACTAAAGAAAATTATTAAATAAAGTAAGATAAATTTTTTTAAAAAAATAACATAAAAATAAATTCTAGAAATCTGAAATTATTAAATGAAACAAATAAAACAAAACAAAAAAAATACTAATGCTTAATTTTTATTTTATTACTTTGTAGGCGAGCCAGCTCTAGCTTTTTCGAGCCGGCTTGTCAAGCATCAAGCCAATTTATTAAGTATGGCTCGGCTCATAAGGAGCTATACTAGTATATAAAATTTGTTTAATTTACTGCTATTTAAGATTCCATCATAGTTTTTTTTAATTTTATCTTAATCTTATTAATGTAATTAATATTTTTTTAATTTTTTATAAAAAAAAGATCTCTAATGAAATTCTTTATTAAAAAAAAAAATTTCAAGCCAAATTTCTCAATACCCTATTAAAAAAAAACTATTTTCAATAAAATTTTCTATTGTAGACTTCTAACAAAATTCTCCATCAAAAAAATAAAAAAACTTTTCAACCAATAATTCTCTAATGAAATTCTCAATCAAAAAAATATCCCCGATTAAGAAAAATTTCTAACGAAAATCTTCCATCAAAAAACACATTTTCCCTAGCTATTAAGAAAAATTCAAAGATTCTTACCTATTAAAAAAAATTCTCAAAAGAATTTCTATCAAAAAACTTCTATTAAAAAAAGAAATTCTTTACTGAAATTCTCTATAAAAAAAAATCTCCCCTGTTAAAAAAATTTACTAACGAAATGATCTATCAAAAAAAAAATCTTACCTATTAAAAAAAAATTCTATGATGAAATTTCTATCAAAAAAAAAAATTCTCAGCGAAATTATTTATCTTCCTATTAAAGAAAAATTCTTTAATAAAATCCTCTATCAAAAACAATCCCCCTATTAGTTAGTTATAATGACGTTTCTTCTTTTTAGTGATATGAAGTGTCTTTTCCCAAGCATGGAGTTTGTCATTGTGCTGGGACCAAATGGTCCGATAAAGTTGTTGCTGTAAGGAGGTAAAAAATTCCATAATAATTTTTTTGGTCAACGAGTATTTGTGTGAATAAGATTGTATGAGGTCTACTAAGCGAGCTGATGTAAAATTAGGTAAATGTCATGCGTCGAGTCCGTGACTACAATGAAGAAAGCTTGAGTTGTTTAACACTGTCAGGGATGAACTTGTGAGTACGTAAGTTCGTTATATATATTTCAATAAGTCTAATTAAAATAGGTATGTGTGACTGTAAAGTGGAATTCAGGAAAGGAAGTAAATTAGAGCAAAATCCTAGGTTTGATAAGCTGATTTTCGTTGACTGCAAATATCTTCTGTGTAGGAGGCCTTTAGTGAGAGGCCAGTGAGTGCTGTTGACATCATTTTTTCAGCTTCATACTTACATAATGTTCAACCTGTCTTGTCACGTGATTTTATTCGTCAGAAATGAGGAATTTGGTTAGCGTTTAGAACAATTACTTTTTTGAAAAAATATTAAATCAGATTTTCCAACTAATTGTTATCATCGATCTGAATTATTGAATTTCATTATTGAAATGAGATTATGAGATCGGTTTTATTATACGCACATATAATTTTCATTTTATGTTAAAATAAGGTACATCCGGTGATTTCGGTGATCATGTTATTATAATCATATGATCAGCAACATGTATGCAAAATCTCGACGATCAAAAGTCCGTTATAAATAATCCCGAAAGTTCAACTCATCCCAACACTTGTTAATTTTACATTTTTTTTTTTTAGACGTAATAATTTTGTTACACTTTGTAACGATTAATATTTCTACTAATTTCTACTAATATGTAATAATGAATCATTATTAATGTTATTAGAAAAAATAAATTTCAGTTTTTTGCTTTATATTAAATAAAAATTTAATGTTTGTATATAAAGATATTATTTTTTTTTTAATATGTTTAATAGTCACTTTTTATTCAGTTTTGAAATAATGAGTGTCGGATTTGAATTTATGGGATTGCGTCGGCGGGTTTGTGTTTATAACTGGGTCCTTGGGATTTCGTAGTAAATTCGCATGGTTACGCATGTATATGTATTTCAAATAAGGTATATTTGTTTTATTTATTCATTGTTGATCAGAAACATGCATGGTTAATGAGATCGTTGTTTTATTGGATTACGGTACATTTCAGCTGAATATTTTGACGATTATCCCATGCCCATCAACATTCGTCAAATGGATGGTTCGCCGAATGGATGTTACGCCGAAGGGGTTTTCAACAAAAGTATATTTTATCGAATCCATTTCACCAAATCGTCCATTTACAAATTCCATTTCACCAAATAAAAATTTTGCCGAGATTAACATTTTCATAAAAGATATTCAACGTGCAATGATAAATTCTTTTTATTTTTAAATATCTTTCTTTTCCAGGATATTATCACTTTAACATTCAAGTAACTGATATTAATTGTTACACAATAAATAAATAACTTTATTTTCCTGAAAACAAAAAAGTAAAAAAAAAAAAGATTTTAATTCGTGATTTACGAGTCAACTGCAAAGGATCTGCAGAAATGGGAATCTGGTGTAGTGTCAAATAAAAGTAAAAAATTGTTGTAAAAACTATTTGAACTTTAGGATAAATATTTTGTATTAAATATGTTAGTGTTGAATGTGTTCACATGAAAAACATTATTTAGGGAATGAAAATTGGGTCACGGATCACAAATTAATGTATTACAAACAACCAATCTATTTAATAAATTTCATCTAATTTACAAATGGAATAAGTAATTTTTTGGGATGTTTTATTCAGATACTGTTCTTGGTTTTATTATACGCACGTATTTATTCTTATTCAAGATATATTAGCCGATTCACATGTCTCTTTATATATTAGCTAACTAAGAATCAGTCTTTATCATATTATTCATTATTTTATTGTTCGAATGGTTCCTACCTCTTAGTAAAAAGTTATTCCGAATTTATTTTATATAACGAAATTGGCTTGAGCGAAATCACATTATTTTAGCGTTGATAAATAATGAAATTGGCTCTCATTTATTGATTAATTTTTAATTTCACATGATAAATTATAAATTCTTTCTTTTTGTTTTATTTATTCACATGCAAACAAATATAAATATTATGGTTAAAATATTTACATATAAAAAATATGGGTTTACAAAATCCTGGCAACCATAAAATCGACAGTCTACAATCCTGACACCAAGATCCTGACAAACCCAAATCCTGTTGAAATAAAATCCCGATAGTTACAAATTCTGACAGTTAAAAATTCTTGATGGTCAAATCCCAAAGTTTTTTTTTAAAAAAATTATATAAAATTTCCATAATTTTAAAAAATGCAGTGACGTAGCAACAGGCTAATTTATTAAAATATAATCTATAAATTTTATTAATACCAATGTTAATATTAATGCAAATTGACTAACGTTACTATATTATTAATGAAAATTAAAGAAAAAATTTTTTTATCTTAGTTAAAAGGATTATGTACAATATATTACTAGATTACTAAACTATTCCTTATCTTCTAAATTAGAAATAATTGCATTAAAAAATTAAGTAATCTCAAATTTATCTGATCGAATCTCAGACAGGATTTTGGCTGTCAAGATTTTAGATCATTTGAGTTCTATGACTGTCAGGATTTTGATTCCAATCGGGATTTGCATTTATCAGGATTTTGGTGTCAGGGATTATAGACTGTCGATATTATGGTATCAGGATTTTTGGGTGATTCCAAAAATAAAATATGTATATATGTATCCCCTTTAAAAAATTGTAATATTAGTAAATGATTAAACACAATTTAAACTTTTAATCAAAATATTTTACACATAATGAATTTCCTATCTTTTTAACGCTCACTATCATTTTTTTGCTACGGCTCTTGTACTGACCACGGAAGGTAAAATCTTGAAATATTGAACTTGTTTTAAGGAAAATAAATTAATAAATACTTTTTTCTCCCTATCTACAGATCCGTAATAATTTTTGAAATCTGAAACACGTTGCAAAATATCACCATTTGTAAAATGGAGAAAAATTAGTTAATTACTTTTTAGACTGGCTTTTTCTTTATTTACAAATTCGCAATAATTTTGAAATCCGAAATACGTTGCAAAATATCACATGTAATTGATCATTTGTAAATTTGGAGAAAAATTAGTTAATCCTTGTTCATAATAATTAATAATTACTTTTTAAATTGGCTTTCTCCTTATAAAAAATTTTCATTTTATTTCTGTAAATGATATAGTCTTCGGAATTATCATATTCTGCTTTTTCTTATATACAGGGACTGATTAAAAAAACACAGAACAAAAAAATATTACAGAACAAAAAAAGAAAAATCCTCAAACTCTAACAATATTTTGCAATGAAATATATTTTCTTGTTTATCGTTCTTATTTGTACCATCCATGGTCTGACAGTTCATGCATCACCTCTCCATGAGGGTAAGAGATTAATCATTTTTATTTATAATTTTTTATCTTTCTATTTTCTCATGCATTTAATATTTTCATTTGTAGTTAGATCTAGTCTTCTCATGAAACGTTGTACAACCGGTGGCCAACTTGGAGATTGTGGTATTGGAGGCGAATGTGTTACTGATGATGATTGTTTGCCGGGTCTTTATTGTGATACCATTGTTGGAGTATGCTATGACTGATGTCACTTTGAATTTTTGAGTTAGATTATTTATTAGTGAATGTATTAGTTATTTTACCTTTTCGCTGTGAAGAAATTAATCTATAATTTTTTTTAATTAGTAATAAATATTTCTATCATGCAAATATTGTATTCTTGACCTTATACGATTTACTTTCTTGACTCGTGTATATAGTGACGGTCAAAAGTAATGCATTGCCGAAATGAAAAATGGTGATCATAATTCACAGTAGTGTGCCATACTAATAACGAGTTTATTATATTATATAAAATTTTTATATATTAATAAAATAAAAGTAAAAAAATTCCTTTATTATTGATCAAACATGCGATGCTTTTTTTTTTTTGACTGTTTCCAAAAATTATATTATCGCTTCTTCAAAATACTATGTTATAATCATATGATTAATAACTATTGTAAACTCTCGACCAGATAGGATAAGCTGAAAGCAAATATGGATCTTTAAATATCAATGAATAGTAAATTTTATAATGATTAAAAGTTTTGAGATGAAATTAATTTATTAAATTTATCTTGCATTTTTTGACGGGTATCTATATCAATAACAAATAATATAATTAATATAAATACTCTATTTTTAGGTTTCAATCATATACTAAGCCATTAATAAATCTTCAAAAAAAAATTCCTTTCATAACTGTCGGTCAAAAAAAAAAGATTTTGGATAATTATGTCCTTTAATAAAAAAAAAAAAAAGAATTTAGATAATTATTTATTATTAAAAATGCATTAGGTTTGTAACAAAAATTATCAATTTAAAAAAAATTATTAAGTATATTAATTTTTGTGAATGAAATTTATAAACGGAGCCGAATTCCTGATTGCCGATCATCTTGACCCGGTTTAATCGCAGAAAATCCCCTGGAATTCCACGACGATCTACGCCTGAGCCGTGTCCGGATCACGTTACGCCGTTTAATTTAGTAAAAAATTCTAATGCTATTTTATATTAACAATTATTAGCTAACTTTCAATGTAAAAATTACTATATAATTTAAATATGGCAAAAAAATTGATAATCAAAGTTATTTCTTTTATCTCCATTTTCAACAAAATCTGATTTTGTGATGTTATTATGTGATTTTTCGTATTGAAAATAATATGAATCATCTCTTTACACGAATTTTTAATATTTTTATACCAAGTTATTTTTGGTGGATTTAAACAGCATATTATATAAGAGAATCAAATTTATTGTCGTAGTTATATCATTATTATGGTTATTTAAGTAAAAATTGAAGTGAATTACCATTTTTCATGAAATTTTAATACTTTTATATATTTTATCCATGAAAATCATCATAATAATATTTTAAATTGTTTTATGTGAATATTTTGTATTATAATAACGTACGATCTATTAAATAAAGAATTTAGTTAGTTTAAATTATATGTAAATATTATAGCAATAAGCAACAATTCGACATTATGGAATTACGGCATTACGACATTATGGCGTCGTAATTCATTTTGACGTGGAATATTTGAATTGATGTTGGTGTAATATTTTACGCTGCCATAATAACTTATAACTTACCAGCTAATAATTTTTAAATGAAGAATTTAGTTAGTTTAAATTATATGTAAATATTATAACAATAATAGAATTAAATAAATAACATGATCTACAATTCTACATGCTTACATGAGACATGACATCGATGATATTGATCGACATTGTTCTACAAAATTTGACAAGATCCTCAATCACGTGACACTAACTAAATTAACTAAACTATGTTTAACCAAAATTTGCGCTAAGTAAAACTAAGAAAACAAAATAGCCAAATTACTCCTTCGTGGGAACAAATTAATGAATTCAATAATTTGAATGATGCCTTTAGTGGAAGATTATGGAGTAAATCAAGTGCGCCCTGAAAAGTAATTGAGAGTAGTCTAGGTAGCACAAGTAGTAGAGCTAGAAAATTTCTTAAAGGATAGTTTTTTTTAGATTTAGTTTTATTTTAATTTAGATTTTTAGATAGGAATCTTCGTGTTTTTGGCGTTTTATTGTATATATATATTCTCATACGTATCGAGTCAACTTGTTTTGTGTGCTAGATAGGTGTTCAATAAAAGTAAAAATAAAAAAAAAAACAAAACCAATCACACGCTAGCCCCAAAAAGTAAATTAAAAAAAATCTGAACCAAAATAAGGTTAATAAAGAATGAGTAAAATTTCTAAATAATAACCTTTCATACTGTATAACCTTCTGTCACTAGTCAAGTGATCGACACATTATTCTACATTATCACTAGTTCAATGAATCGAAAAAAGTTAACCCGAAAATATTTTTTTTCTATTTTAGTTAAGATATTCTTTTTTTAGTCAAAAAAATTACGCCTAAAAAAAAAAAAAAATTTTTTTTTTTTCAGTAAAATAAAGTTCTAAAATAACAAATGGCAACTGAATTTAGTAAACCAAACATTTCAGACAAAGATACTAATACAATAAACACCAAAAATTGTTCGTATTGCAATAAACCTTTTGCTGAAAAATTATGGTGTAAAGAATGTATTAATTCTTTAGAAAAATTAGCAGAAAATGGTGATAAAGAAGCAATGTTTAATTTAGCTAACTGCTACAAAAATGGAGAAGGAACAGAAAAGAATTTAGAAAAAGCCTTTCATTGGAATCAAAAAGCAGCAGAAAATGGTTATGATAAGGCAATGTTTAATTTAGCCTTATGTTACGAAGATGGAGAAGGAACAGAAAAAAATTTAGAAAAAGCATTGCATTGGTATCAGAAAGCAGCAGAAAATGGTGTTAAAGAAGCAATGTTTAATTTAGCCAGTTATTATGAAAATGGAAAAGGAACAGGAAAAAATCTAGTAAAAGCCTTTAATTGGTATCAGAAAGCAGCAGAAAAAGGTGATGAAAAAGCAATGTATAGTACAGCATTATGTTATGGAGATGGAGAAGGAACAGAAAAAAATCTAATAAAAGCCTTTAATTGGTATCAGAAAGCAGCAGAAAAAGGCCATGCTGATGCAATATATAATTTAGCCATATATTATCATAGTGGAAAAGGAACAGAAAAGAATTTAGAAAAAACCTTTCATTGGAGTCAGAAAGCAGCAGAAAAAGGCCATGCTAAAGCAATGTGTAATATAGCCAGTTGCTATTATTTTGGAGTGGGAACAGAAAAGAATTTAGAAAAAGCTTTTTATTGGTGTCAAAAAGCCACAGAAAATGGTAATAGAAAAGCAATGTATGATTTAGCCTCATGCTATGAAAATGGAAAAGGAGCCGAAAAGAATTTAGAAAAAGCCTTTTATTGGTATCAAAAAGCTGCAGAAAATGATGTTAAAGGAGCAATTATTAAATTGGCCAAATTTTATGAATTTGGAGAAGGAACAGAAAAGAATCTAGAAAAAGCTTTTTATTGGTATCGGGAAGCAGCAGAAAATGGTGATAAAGAAGCAATGTATAATTTAGCCATATATTATGAAAATGGAGAAGGAACAGAAAAAAATTTAGAAGCAGCCTTTTATTGGCATCAAAAAGTACTATCAGTAAGTAATAAAGTATGTGCTAAAGATGAAGATGAGATATGCAGTAAATGCAAAAAACCACATATTTATTACCCATGGCACCAACAATGTAATGAATGTAAACAACCATATATTGATTATCAGTGGTGCCAACAATGTAATATTAGACGATTTCAACAAGATTTTTCAAAGTGGACAAGCAAAAATGAATTTATTGATAAATTTATTCAGGAAGCACAACTAAATGCAAAAAATTGTTATGAAGTTTTAGAGTGGATACCTTATAATAAATTGTCAAGTATTAATTATCATGATAAAGGAGGATTTAGTGAAATTCATAAAGCTATCTGGTCAGTTGGACCCATTTTTAGTTGGAATTGTGACAAACAACAATGGAATAGACAGACGGATCATGAAGTTATTCTTAAAATACTTGATAATTCATCAAGTTTAAATAATAAATTTCTAGATGAGGTATAGTATTTATGTTTAATAGAAAATTTTATTTTTTTTTTTCATAAATTTAATAACTTTTTATTATTTATATAGTGGAAATATCATTATATTTGTCAGAAAAAATCATTTTCAAAATTTATTCAATTCTTTGGTTTCACTCAAGATCCAAATAATTTAAATTATATGATAGTAATGAGTTATGCAAAAAAAGGAAATTTGAGAAAATGTTTATCTGACATAATTAAATTTAAGTGGCAAGACAAGTTACAAATATTGAAAAAAATTATATTAGGACTTAAAGTAATTCATGAATCAAATTTAACTCATGGCGACTTTCATGATGGAAATATTTTAATGTCAGATAATTACAATGAGTCATTTATTATTGATTTAGGATTATGTAAACCTATAAGCGATTTACAAGATTCTGGTAATAGCAGTATTAATGAAATTTATGGAGTTTTACCTTATATGGCGCCTGAAATATTAAGAAATAGACCCTATACTCCAGAAAGTGATATTTATAGTTTTTCAATGATGATGTGGGAATTTACATCAGGCATTCCTCCATTTAATGATGAAGCACATGATCACCATCTTATCTTGAGTATTTGTAAAGATGAACGTCCTGAAATTATTGAAAATATTCCAAAATGTTATACAGATTTAATGAAAAAATGTTGGGATTCAAATCCTTCTAATAGACCAACTATAATAATGCTTGAAAATATTATAACTGAATGGATTAGATGCATTAATGAATTTTATGAAACAAACAGAGATGGAAATTATAATTATAGAGTACCTGGTATTTCTAATCACTTAAAAAATGATATATTCGAATTTGTGAAAGCAGCTTTAGTACAAGAACAAGCAAATACTTCTATTATCCAGTTTCATCCACAAGCATATTATATAAGTCGCAATGTTACTAAAGAAATAGAAAAGTCTAAGAATGTTAGTGAAAGAGTTGTTCAAGAAAATTCTGACTTGCTGGATTGTATAATTAATATTTAAAAATCAAATAATAATTCTGTTATTTATTTTTATTTGTTTGATTATTTACAGTTATTATATAGGAAATATTTATATTATGTATTTTTACAGTTTTACAATAAAATAATAAGATATAAATATTGTTAAATAAAAATATGCTAATTAGTATTAAATAAAGTTTATTTATATTTTTTATTTTCATTTTCAAATTTGTTTATCAAATTTGATAATTGCATTATAGCCAAATTTGCAAGCAAAATTATGGTTGGATTTATTAAATTTATTAATATGCTAATGTAATTATAATTTAAACTTAAAATGCAATACCAGTTAAATTTATGATATTAATACATGAACTTGTTTTATTAAAATATAAAATTATATTAATACAGTATACAAATTCATATAATAGTAAAATTTAATGCAATGTAATACAAAAAAACAAAAACTTTTACACAAAAATGGATATTTCATTATCAAAAAAAGTTACACAGTTAAAGAATTGGAAAAATATCTATAGAAGAACAAAAGTAAGAGCCAGGGCTGACAATTCAAGAGACAGATAAAGAAATAGCCGAACATACGAAAATTTCAGGTGCATGATATGCATCAGTAATAAGAAGTATATGTGAAGTAACCTATCAAAAAATGGAAGATAAATTTTAAGAAGAATTTCAGAATGTCTTCAAATTTTGAGACAACATATAGAAGAAGTCACAATTCATTAATAAAGTAAAGAAAGAAGAAAAAGTAAAGATATTAATTATGAGAATGATAAGCAAAGTGACTTGAAAATGAACGATTAGTTCAGAGTATCAGACATGTCGATGGGAAACGTAAATTTCACGGGTAGTAGATATCGTGAATTACCTAACAAAAATGGAAGAATGTAAATCTAAAAGTATCAGACATTAAATACAGAAGTTACAAGTAGCTCAAAGTAAAGCAATATCATGTGGGTATCATGTTCTATAATATGCCAGGACTGGAGGACGAGAAGAGAATTGAATTTATTAAAAAGAAAATAAAAGAATATCAAATAGAAAATTTAGAAATCAAGAAAATTTATGTCCTGTCTAACATGTATATTGTGATAGTTGTAGGATCACAAGAATTAGAGATCAAGCAAGAAATTTAATACCATTAATATGCTTAAACACTACATAAGAAATATGTATTAATAGAGTACCAAAAAACTGCAATAAGACAGAATTAGATAACTGTATTATCAGAGGTATTATATATATGCCTAAAAGTAATGGTAAAGAAGTAGATTTATATAGAGCGACAATAAAAGTGATTTTATGTCTACGGGAAAGGATGACAGATGGGATTTTTTTTTGCAGGGTTCTTGGGTGTCTGAGATTTCCTGTTCGTCTACGCGTTTAATTTAATCATCATAGGACAGAATAGAACGTCGACGCAAAATCAATTGAAAAGTTTGCTAATATCTAGGATTTTTTTAAATTAGTGTAGTGTAGTTGTTTTAAATTTTTACATAGGATATTATTATTATTTATTGTATTAGATAGGTCTTTTATTATGTTTGTATTTTCACAGGTGTATACTGGTGACATAATTTTGTTTAGGGAACGATGAAAAGGCCATGTGATATATACGGTATATCGATAATAATTGATATACAGTTTTTAAATCAGTTATATTGACGAACGATAATTATCTCAATAGTTAACATTATCTATCTAGTAAATACTCCATTTCCCTTCAGTTCATCATTAATGCTCTCGATCGAACCCTTCGAAACCTACAAAAAAACATATAAAAGAAATACTATTTAACTTTTTTTACTAAAAAATACAAAAATAAGATAAATTTCGCAAAGGAATTTAAGTTCCCAATTTCTAGTATCCAATCGAAACCTGGAGAACCTGCAAAAAATAAAAGAACGACACCAAAATCTAAAAAAAGGAAAAAATAAACGTTAATAAACGTTTCTGGTTAAATAAATAAATAAATAAATAAATAAAATTATAGTTTCGTAAAAGTAAAAATTTGCGAAACTTACCGTTTCAATATCAAAGAAACGTTAAAAACGTTCCTAATAATATTTGAAAAAACAAAAAAGGTTCAATTTGAAACCCGGAGTACTAAAAAAAAGCAAAAAAAGAAACGTTAAAACGTTTCTTAGTATAAAATAAATAAAAAAATTAACTTTCGCAACAAGATTGTTATTATTTCACCGTTTGGAATATTGGAGCATTGAACTAAAAAAAAAAAATATTAAGAAATTTAGAAACGTTCTTTTAAAATGCAAGAAAAAAAAAATTTTAGTAAATCGTTACGAAATTTCCCGTTTCTCGAAACTTACAAAAAAGTAAAATAACATACTAAGCTGTCTCGAAGTTATACTTTGAAACCATTACCCAACCTGAGGTCAAAGACGGAGGAGTTTTACAAAGTCCGCAAAATTTACCACTTTCGAAGTCCGCGAAGACCAAAGTTTCTAAGAACCTATAAAGTAAAGGAAGTAAACGTTCCATTAATATAAAAAAAAATTGATGTTTTGAAACAAAACTTATCGTTTTTAATAGATGAAAAACCGTTAAAACTCGTTTCTATTAATATAATAAGTTTCGAAACGAAACTTACCATTTTCAATATCCAATCCCAAAACCTACAAATAGTGGAGAAGGGAAACATTAATAAACGTTTTCTTTGTATATATATATATAAAATTAAGTTTTGAAATTCAAAACTTACCGATGTTTCCAATCCAAATCAAAGGCCACGATAGAATTCCTATCCTATTTTGGTAGTAAGTAGCCCTATTAAGAAACCAGGAGAAGAAAGATCAAAAAATTAATTAAAAAATAATTATAATTTAAAAAAATAAAACTTTGCCGGATTTATATCCGTTTATCATTCAGGATAATTTGGGCCATATTTATAGTGCTGGCCAGAATTATGTACATGATCGACCAAAGGAAATTTGGATTTCGACATGGCATGGAAAGGTACTAGTAATCAATATTTGTATCATTTTTTTATATTTATCTGATTTTATTTTAATTTATCTCTTTACATTTACGTTAAAATATTTTATTTCTTTTTATGATAAACTGAGTTTTTAATAACTTTTAATAAACTATTTCCCGTAGCAAAAAGTTTCCTTGACGTATTAAGGTCAATCACATGATCTAAATAGATAAAATTCAGCTCTTTTACGTGCAAACCAGTTGACAGCACTTCCAATAAGCTATCTCGTTTATCAAGTTATAAAAAACATGTAGCCTGATATTAGAAATTGTCATGTTATAATTCATTCGATACTTAATAAAAATAAGTATATTTTTCCAAAATCGTAGTTGAAAAATAGAATAAAAAGAATGTAAAAAAATCTCAAAAAATTTTTATTATTGTATTTCCATATTTCGTTACTTCATTTATATTTTTCTGATAATAGGTATACTCACTGACGCAATAACATATTTTTATGTCAAAAAGTATAGACTTATCGGTAAAATATTTATTTATTTACTTATAAACTTAATTTTTTTTTTAAAAAAAAAAAATAATAATAATAAATAATTTTTCTTATTAACTGTTAAGGAGACATAAATTATAACTTTAAAATGGTAACGTTATATTAGCATTAGGATTTTCTTCCAACATTTTAAGTTTTGATAAACCTTTAAGTACAGGATCAGCAGGACAACCTAGTTCAGGAGCATAATGTACAATAAAATCACCACGAATATATCTATCAGGGAAAGTATTTATCGTATGATCATCCCGATTCAGATATAAAACCTATAAAAAAAAGAAAGTGATTAGAATAAAAACTATAAATTTTACAGGATGAAACACAAAAAATCTTACGTTTGGTTTCCAATTTGGTAATTGGATAGCATCACGCATAGCTTGTTGTTCTCTCATACCAGTATTAGCACGATCATATCTAGATTGTACACCATTTCTAAGAAAATCTCTAGCCCAATCACTATTTCTAATTAAGAAAACACCAGCATTAATCATATTATCACCTATAGGTCTGGCTACAATAAAATTAATTTTTTCAAATTCTTTCTTTCCACCAGCTCTTTTTTCACATTTTTCCAATAATTGTTCAATAGAAAAAGATCTATTGGCAAAAAAAGCATCCATATCTAACCATATTAACCATTCATAATAAGCTAAAACTTTTTCTACTGCATCAACTTTACCCCAAACTGGTTTTCTCTTTCGATAATATTGTTGATCATATTCAGTTGAACGAGCTACGAAAGCATAACCATGCCTTTCAGCATATTCACGTTTATTTTTTGCAGAAAGAGGAGCAGCTTCTAACATACAATTATCTTTATATAAGAAACTACTTGTTATCACTGCTATATTTGGTCTTAATTTATTTACCGTCTCATTTGAATACATTTTAAGATCATAACGAGCAATACAAGGGAGTGTTGTTGATATATTAAATTCTTTTATAATATTTCTAATTTCCCATTCTTGGTAAATATGACCCATGGCAACAATACAATCAACACAAGAAATACTACTAATCGAATTTGGCCATTCTATTATACTTATTGGATCATTAATAAAAATTAAATCGCCCGGAATTATTTTATTTGGATTATTATAATAATAAAGATATAGACTTGAAATAAGACTTGTATAATTCATCTTATAATTTGAATTTTCGAGAATTGGACGTATTGCCGATGATCCTAATATTACTGCCATATTTTCTGTTCTGTTAGAATCGAATGATCCCCATACCATTTTTCGAGTATTCGAGATTAATCGATTTTCTATTTTCGAGGATAAAATTTTATCCTGGATTTTTTCTAAATTAATCATAGTAAATGCATCAATTAATATCAAATGATCGAATGTTATACATTTTTCTTGTAATGATTGAGCCTTTTTTTATTTTAGTAAAAAAAAAAAAATAAATAAAAATAAAGTTAGTTGAAATTATCACGTGACATCACTCGAAAATAAACTACACTTACGTATTTGAGCAAAGTTTGATGCCAATCATCACTATGTTCAACATCAATTTCAACAATATCATGATAATATTCCATTTTTTCAGATGTAAATAATTTTAGAACTTTTCCATTAACTTTTTTTAATTTTCTTACAAAGAATTTATAATAAATTACATTTGTATCTTGTTTCATACATGGAATTATATTATCTGTGATACCAAATAATTCTTCCCTCATTAACATACGTTGGTTAAGATCTTCCATTTCCGAGAAAATAAATAATGCCATTTTATAATGTGGACATGACATATTTTGCATAATTTGTTCCGGACTATTAGTAAGAGGAGTCGTTGTAGATTCATTATCATTAACGTCATAGCTGGATGACAATATATCATTATAATCATTAATATAATACGGTATTGCGAATAAAAATATCACAAATGTCGTAATTAATAAAGGAAATAATTTTATTTTATGAAATTGACCTTTCATATTTAATTGTTCTTTCATTCCCATTCTTTTAAAATAAATTTATTTTTATTTTTAATTTTTTTTTTTTTTTTAAAAAAAGGAGGGAGGGAAAAAAGAACAAAGTCAATAAATAAAAAACAAGTATTTATAGTTAATGTTAATGTTACGTTCAGATAAAAGAATAATAATAGAATTTTTATTGCTACAATTCACAAATATTTTTTATAAAAATAACTAAAATGACTTATAATAATTTATCAAAAAAAGTAATATTTTTTCCGGCTATGAAATTAACAATAATATTTTGACATAACGTAAACAGGTTGATTTGCTTCCATAATTAACACATCCTAATAATAAGTTTATTATTATTGTTTTATTCCTATATACGGAAGATCCGAGTTTTGTGTACACTCTTATCTTTAAAATAAGCTTAATGATTAAAAGATTAAAATACTCCGATAAGACTTATCTTTAATGTCTTTTTAATGGTTACACTAACAAAATACTAGGTGCATTATCTCATTGAAATCCGTTGTACTGTTTATCTACAGATCTTACCAATACTAGAAACCTTGTTTTACGTGTTTTTATTAAACGTGACAAAAATGATCGGTCTTTTACTTATTTTTACCATTCCGAATTTAAATAATCACTTGATCAATTCTTTATTGATATTATTGGATGATTGGTTAACAATAACAAAGACTTGTGAATTGTGTCACAATATTTTGTTTCGTCCTTTGTTGGGAATATATTTTGCGTTAGTGCCAATACTGCGCGTTTCTTATTATTTAATTGTCTGTGTACTGCATTGGAATTGTCTGTGTTTACTTATTATTAACTATTTTATAATCCACCTTATAAAGTACTGCTAATTGTTTTTGATGCATATACTTACTGTATATGTAATACAAAAATATACAATACAATACCGGTAACCGGTATTTTTACGTTATCCGATTATAATATACTATAAATGATAAAAAGGAAATGGTAATAATACTCAAAGAAGAAAATTTTCATAATTCAGTTTACGCGCTGCGCTGAAAGAGAGCCATCGTTTTTGTGTGAGTCATGCATAGAAGTTTATCCCTGCATGAACATCATTAAATTAGGAAATCAGAACCATACTATCATATGCAAACCATGATATTTTAAATAGTGTTATTGGATAATTCTGATTCTTAATTTAGCCAATTATGGTATTTTAACTATGCTCATTAAAAAAAGGTTACGCCAAGTCATTATACGCAGTAGATATAATCTTTTATGGTAAATAAAATTATTTTAATAATCAATGTCCGAAACTTAAGCCACCAACGCCATAGGTTTTTGTTTATTGTTTCTTAACTTAGAAATATCATAATCAAAAAAAACTTTTGTTTATAAAAGACCGGAAAGTTTCATTCAAAACGTACCGGAAATTTATTCGTTTTTCTAGTTTCATAAGTGGTCACATACTAAGCACTAACGTAATTTGATAAACAATAACTAACTAAAAATTTTTTTTATATATTTTAAACTTCAAAAACCTATTTCTATATTCCCTCGAAATCTCTCTTCCCATTTCATTTTTTTCTTACTTCCCAAGTATTAAAACTGCTACGGAATCAACAATAATTAGTAATAATTATTTATTCCTTTGATTAATTTAAAAATACCATTTCTTTTATTAATACTTTTTATTTGAAAACTTCTTTAATACTTCTTTAAATACTTCTTTAATACTTTTTTTTATTATACATTTTTTAAAAAAATGGTCGCGAAAAATCAAGAAGAAATTGAAATTATAAAACAAGAATTATTACGTTCAACGTACTCAGAAGGAAATAGTAATAGTGAAGAACAGGATATTGGGAAATCATCTTCAAGTGATAGTGAAGAAATTAATAGTTTTAGATATCCTGCGGTTATACTCATCGGAAATGCAGGTGAATAAAAAGGTTCTTTAAACAAAAAAAAAAAACAAATAAAGAGTGAATATAGGATTTAATGTAAAAATATATTGCCTTGTAGGAGTCGGAAAGAGTACTTTGGGTAATTGGTTATTGGGATACCATGGAGATGGTGGACCGTTCGAAACCAAAGCTTCATGTGATCCTGTAACTTTAGAACCACAAACAGCATTACTTGAAATTAGTGATCGTAAATATAATTTAATTGATACACCAGGATTATTTGATGTGAAGGATGATGCTAGATCAGATATTGCTCTCACTAAATTAGCTAATACAATTAATCATTGTTCGTATGGTATACAAACAATTATTTTTGTTGTAAAAAAATCCTTTGGAAAAGAAATCGATAGGCAAATTCAAGCAATTAAAGGTTTCTTGGGAGAAAAAGCTTTAGATCATATATTGATCGCATTTACTCACGTTAATATGGATCAGACGATGGATAGAACGGTCATGAAGAAATCTTTTAATTCTAGAATGATCAATTTTCTTAACAAGATTGATAATAGATGGATTGTTTCACCAAATCCTGATTTATTTACCTTAGAGGACGATATTGTTTATACCAACGTGTATGAAGCTAAAGATATTATTGAGTCATTCCCTGAAGCATATACTACCGATATGTTTAATAGAGTGCGTAGAGCTAGAGAAGAGGCTGAAGAAGCTGCAAGAATAAAAGCACAAGAAGAACGCCTCAGAGCTTGCGAAGAAGAAATATCAAGACTTCGTAATAATGCCGGTATACAGGCTGCTAGAAACGAAGCTGAAAAACAATGTTTTTCTTTAGATACTATTGTTACGTTGGAAGGTGGAAAAAAAATTGAAATGTCTGAAGTTAGAGTTGGTGATAAGGTCGCTTGTGTCGGCTCTAATAATAAAGTAGAGTATTCGGAAGTTTATCTGATTGCTCATGTAGATAAGGATAAACAAGCCGAATTCTTAAAAGTCGATTACACTAAACCTGATGGAACAACAGGTATTTAATTTTTTTAATTAGTATTACATGCTTTGATAGTATATTAAATTGTTTTTTTACTTATTCTATTTTTTTTCTTCTTCTTTTTAATAGGATGTTTGAACTTAACTTCAGAACATCATTTGTTTGTTAATGGTTCGTTTGATTACGCTCATAATATTCGTCCAAATGATTCACAAATTCAGATTTTATACAAAGATGAATTAATTCCCGTAAGAGTTACAAACGTCTCCAAGGTAGATTTTTTTTTTCATAATTCTTTAATTCTCTTTTATTTCCTTTTCTTTATTCCGTTTAATTGATTTTTATGAATATATTAGGAAATACGCAAAGGGTACATCGGAATCTTTACACGTACCGGAACAATCATAGCGGATGATGTATTTTGTAGTTGTTATTCTAGTTGTCCACCGTACCAAAATATTATTCATTATATTATGGCCCCCATACGATTTACAACTCTATTTCATAAATCAAATTATTGTGATAGTGAGATTCATCCTTATTTGAAGTTTCTTTATAATAATTATAAATCCATTACTGGAGCTTTTTAATTAGAATAACGAATATTTTGGAAATCTCCGATTTTTTTTCGTATTTTAAATGTACAGTAATTATCTATTTATCACCAAATGTTAAAAAACTAGAGACGAACAGATTAGATCATCATCATCATTATTATTGGGCTAGTTTATTCGTGTTTTTTTTTTTAATTTGTATATTTTTTTTTTTTTTGAATGACGCGACAAATAAAATTGACATATGTGAATAACGTATGACTTTCAGAAGGTAATTTAAGGAGTTACAGAGTGAAATAATTTTCATATTATCTTATTTTTTTTTTTTTTTTTTTTTCCTTTTTAAATTACATATCATAATATACAAATACGTATAAGCATTAAAATTAAATTTTATTATAAAATAAATAAATTATTACTACTTTACAGTTATCTTATTTGTTGAAACCAAGATCATTATAATTATTAATGTAATAAAAGCCACTACTAAAAAACCATAAAAAAATTTTTTCCCCAATTCCGTACTTTGAGATTTAACTCCACGAGTATCTCCCTTTAATTTAACTTTTTTTGAGCCTTCTTTACCTTCTATTGACAAAATCATCTTTTTCAGATCATTAACAAAACTTGCAATTACACTTTTACCTTCATTATTACCAAATAAATCTAAACTTGGCATTACGATCCAACGATCATTTATACTTTGTAATAATGTTGATATTTGTGTATTAAAAGTTTTTTTCATTTCTGTACTTGATAATACTAACGCTTTACGTACTTTTGTAAATACTACTATTGTACGTGATTTTGGATATCTTGTAAATAATTGATGAATAAATAATAATTCATGTTGTGTTAATCTTCCTCCCTCTATAAAAGAAAAAATTTTTAGTGAAAATATCCTTTTTTTTAATCGAACGATCCGTATTAAAAGTAATTAATTACCTAACACAAAAATATATGCTTTTATATTTTTAATTTTCTTTTCAACTTGTTTTAATTTATTCCATATTTCATCTGTATTAGATTCTGATTCTGGAATACCGATCGTATCTATTATAGTATATTTTTCATCTTTTATGTTAAGTTCTGCCGTACGATATGTCTACATTGCAAAAAAATAAAAGAGTTCCAAGATTTTTCGTTATATATATATATATATATATTTAAAGAAGAAGAAAAAATTAAAAAGAAAAATAAAATGATAAATAAATAATAAAGGACGTTACGTTACTTCTTCCTTTTCATCATCATCATAATCTCTATCAGAAATTGGAAATATTGGTGAAACATTTACTTCAGAATAACTTCCCAATAACATATTACTCAAAGTACTCTTTCCAACTCCTAATAAATGTGATATTTCAGTTAATAAGTAATAGTAATAGAATTAATAAAATTAATAAATGAAAAAAAAAAAAAACTTTCTTTAATACCTTTTGCACCTAATATAAAAATTGCTGGATATTTTGCTTCATAATTCATTAACATTTGTTTTTCATCCATTACATCCAATGCAGTTTCTGTCATGATTTCTTTCTTTTTTTTTTTTAAAAAAAAAAAAAAAAGGAAAAGTCAATTTTTGAGATTTGATGATGAGGACAAAAATTTTATCGTTAATGTTGACGTTTAACATTTTTATTTATTTCATTCGTTTCATTCGTTTCTTAATATCAAATTTAACACCAAGACCTATTCAATGCCCATCACATCAAGGGTCTTTTTATATTATTTTTTTTTTTTAAAAAAAAAAAATCTTCAAGATTGTTTGCAAACTGCCATAGAATTATGTCTTTTTTTTGTGAGTAACATAGATACATAAAGTTATAAATACATAGGATTAAAACAAATATGTTTAAAACTATTTACTAACAGCTAATACAATATTAATATATCAGATATTTACTGTAGACCATAGAATTATGTCATAAGATCGGTAAAACTACCGATCATTTTATTGGCAACTGTATAAATAAATAATAGACGAAATTTTTAAAAAACTTAGTTTTTATACCAAAATACCATTATGATGAAAGTCGTTTTTAGGTGAAGCCAAAATCATAAAACATTTCCATTTCACTTTTTTTTTTGTAGATTTTGGCCATGTTACTAAGAATATTTTGTTCTTTTACTTTGTTAAAATCTTACAAAAGTTACTGTAGTTAGTTATTTTGAAAAAAAAAAATTTGGATTCCCTATAAAAAAACCGGTTACGTTTTTGATAAAGTTTTTATACGATTTTTTTTCCTTAGAAATAACGTATCGTGAAAGGATACGGAGGATACGGGAAAATGCATAATTCCGTATCATAAAAAGTATCATTTGCACGATTTGATCACGGAATTTACATGAATTACAGAATTAGTCACTGAATTTATTGCTTAAATTACTAGTACATTATACAAATAAAATAAAATGCTAATATGAAAAATCTGAAAACCTATTATTAAAACATAAATGCTATATCTACTAATAAGATAATTGAAGCAATCTAAGAAAAAAACCTGTTATTACAAGTCCAGGTTCGTCCAAGTTTCCAGAAGTTCAACGGTCTAAAAACAAAAAGAAAAAAATAATTGTAAGAACGTTCCTTTTACTTAATTGAAAGTCAATCTCTCTCTCCTATATAATACCCACAGTAATTTCAGGTTTATCTAAGTCTCCAAAAGTCTGGCAACCTAGAAAAGAACAAAAAAAAAGAAATGTTCTATGCTTCTCTAGCACAATTGAAAGGTCAACTCCCCTCTATATAATACTTACAGTATACTCCAGGCCTCCAGCTCATTCAAGTCTCCAAGAATCGATATTCCTATAAAAAAGGAGTCAGTATTATATAAAAAGAAGGGAATTCTGGTGGCCTACAAAAAAGAAAAATACCCTACAAAAAAGAATTGAACCGTCCTACAAAAAGGTGTCGGTGACCTACAAAAAAAAAGTCCAATTTACTATAAAATCTTTTTACTGAGAAAAAAAGGATAAAAGAAAAAAAGGATAAAAATAAAAAAAAATAATTAAAAAAAAGGAAACTTCTAAAAAAGGGAAGATATAAAACAATGAGGTGGAAGTAAAAAGAATTTTTTTTAAAATAAAAAACTAAAGGGGAACGAAATGAAATAAAAAAAAAGAAAAACAATTTTTTTCTTTAAGAAAAAGAAGGAACGAGGCGGGAATAAGAAAAGAATTTTTTTAAAAAAAAAACTAAAGGGGAACGAAATGAAAATAAAAAAAAAGAAAACCAATTTTTTTCTTTAAGAAAAAGAAGGAACGAGGCGGGAATAAGAAAAGAATTTTTTTTAAAAAAAAAACTAAAGGGGAACGAAATGAAAATAAAAAAAAAAAAAAGAAAAAAAAATTTTTTTCTTTAAGGAAAAGAAGGAACGAGGTGGGAATAAGAAAAGAAATTTTTTTTTAAAAAAATAAAAGGGTGAAGTGGAATAAAAAAACGCTATGAAGTAAAAATTTTTTTTTTCTTAAAGAAAAAAGAAAAAAGGGGGAAAGAGAGAGAATAAAAAAAAATTTTCACAAAGTTCGATGAGAACGTATTCAATTCATAACGATAAACAAACAATCATGTTATGATACATTGATATGGAAAGTATTTTTTTTTTAATAGATGTACGCGGTTTTCTTTATTAGATATTTATATGAATATAGCGTATAATTACAAAAATATGAAAAGAAACATTTAGACCGTTATACAGTAGAAAACTCTACAGTCTCTACTATCTATCTATATCCAGTTATAATACGGATAGTATACGGAAACCGGAATGACGAAGTTTATAAGTTCCGATATACAATATTCATTCTAAATCATTTTATTATCATTAATTTATTAAAAGACCTTCAAAATGAATTACACAGACTAATGATATTATACAGTACATTTTACTTTAAAATGTAATCACTGTTTTTCAATAATTTTTAATTTTCTATAAATAAAAGGAGCATAATGTTTCGCAAATTTATTGAAACAAATAGAATATTGTGGTTGTTTAGTGTATTTTTAATATTTTCAAATTATTATCATGAATTAAATGAATTAATCATATTTAGTAATTGATTAGTAAAATTATCATTTTTTAATAAAGGTATAAGTAAACAGGTACAGAAGGTATAGGACTAGTCAGTAGTGTAGCTCAAAATTTGTGTTTAGTAAAATAATTACATGGAAAGCAATATAATGGTAATAATGGTATTATAACGTAATGCCATTTCACCGACATGAAATCGCCATTGCCGTTTTACCGACGGAAAATTTACCTACTCCATTAGTCCATTTCACAGAAATGCCATTTTACCGATATGTAAAATTACCATTTAATCGACAATTTATTAGCTGCGACCTCAGCACTTGCGCAATAAGGAGTGAAATGTAAAGGTAGTTCAACAAACTGAATTAATAATGCAAGATTATATAGCACCAATCTAATTATTCCTTTGTAATCTTTTCTCTTTGTTTTTTTTTTCAAATAGAACGGTTAGAATTTAGAAACAAAAATTTATATCATTGAAAAATATTCCTTGCTTTTTTATTTAATACTGTAAAATGAATTTCATGTTCGTCGCTATGTCGATCATGTCGTTCGTTAAAATGGTTTGATGTCGGTGAAATGAAGTAGGCAAAATAACGTAAGTAAATTGATGTCGGTGAAACAAATGTCGGTAAAATGGGTGAATACGTTCAAAAGTTATAATGAAAATACTGTTTTATTTTCAATAAGAACTTCATAGTGCGTATTATTGACGAAAATTTTCGCGTGAACGACTTTTAATGATCGATTTCGTTAATTCATAAAAAAATCAGTGTGATGCTATTGAATATTGACGTAAATTCATAATATTATAACTTTAAAACTTAGCTGTTAGGTATAATTCTGATATAATTTCATTAGAATTATAATGATGATGATATTAACTGTATTTCCAAATCCAAAGATACAATCTCTTGAATAAAGAACGAATCAGGTGAAAATACTACAATATTGAAACGATATGGATTTAAATTTCGAATGCATGACAAGTATTATATATGTTACATAAGACTTGTTAAATATGAACGTCCAAAGAAAACATAATTATCAATATTTTCTTGTTTTGTATAAACAAATAAAAAATTTTATTAATAAGAAATTTTTAAACAATTATTACAATACGCCTGAATCCTATCAATATAATTATTTATTAACATAATTATTTCTTTTTCTCAATTTATAATAATATTTTATTCGCATATAATAAATAATAATAATAATCCCCTGTCGCACGAACATTAGGGGTTTTTCGGTTTTTTCCCGAAGGGAAAAAACCCCCCATGAAATAATAATATTTTATTGGGTCGCGTTTAACTCACCGACAATTAATTCACCGACAAACGTTTCATCGACAGGGTTATTTCACCGACAAACGTTTCACCGACATATATAAAATTAAATATAAATTTTATAAATATTTTTATATATATCTTTATATGAAATGGGATTTTTTTTGTTAGTAACACGTATTTCTTTGTTAGATTTTATAAAATACAAAAAAACTACTACTTTTTTACAATAGTTTATTTTTTTTAATAAATGTATTAATGTTTTGTTGTGATCAAAAACTTAAAAAGTTTATTATATATATATATATATTTTTGTTAGTTTTTATTATTTTATATATGTTTATGTTATTCTATCTACTATAACCCGCTCGTCATCCAACGATCGTAGAAAGATGCACCATAGCTCGTTGGAATCGTCTCATAACGACGAGTCGAATGGTGGTTAAATCATCTTTTTACGATCACTGGATGCTGAGATAATAGGCGAAACGTCAAATGGCGCAGTATAAAGATGAAAGTAAAGTATCAATACTAATTAAATCTAAACTAAATATCTAAAAAAAAAAGTTTTATAATAAAATATCTCATTCAATATTTATTTTTTATGTCGGTGAAACGTTTGATTGTCAGTGAAATGATTGTCGGTGAAACGTTTATCACGTTTATCGGTGAAAGTAATTGTCGGTGAATGAACCAGACCCATTTTATTCACATATACCATAAAATAATAAAATAATAATAATAATAATAATAATATTTTTATAATTTTTATTATTATTTTATTATTTCTATTAATTTTTTTTAATGAAAAAAAATTTTTTTTATGAAACTGAAATTGGAATAGCGCGAAATCCGTTTTTCGGCCGAACAATATTATTATAATTTGTTAAAAGATTTTCATATATATAAATAATATTTAGCTTATTATTGTCTTATCTTTATGATTTTATGAAAAAATAAAGATTGTTTACAATGCATAATAACCGAAGGAATTATTTTTTTTTTAAATCCGAATATATCATAGTAGAATGTAACAATAGTAGTAATAAAATGTGTTACGTTACAAATTAATCGTTATAAAAAAAAAAACTCGGATTCTTTATATTATTCAAAAGTTTTCCGTTCATAGAAATAGAAAATTGATTTCAAATAAAGAAATAATCAGTGTCCAAATATGGATAAGAAAAATAATATATAAATTTTTTTCTTACTTTACTATTATATTCCTTTTTAAAAAAACTTGTGATACCCGAAAGGAAATACGATAGAAAATCAATTTCCTCTACAGTATTGATGATTTTGAAACATTAAGGGGGATGATGATCATGATGATTTATTATGTCAAATGTTTAATAGTAACGTGAATTATTTATCAAATTTTGCCATTTTTGAGAATTCATCAACTTTCAAAATTACAAATCAAATAAAAAAAAAATTTCAAAAATGAATCCAAAAACCAACATTATTTACCAAGCCAATCATCATGATTTGCTTCTTAAGTAACATATATGTTCAAGATACGATTTCGAATTTATTATTTGGGAATGAAAGTTCATTATCAATTTATCGATTCTGGTGTTCCATTTCAAATATATTCTATAATTGATTTGATCTTCCAATAAATCATTTACAAACAAAATACCGGCAAAAAAAGTCTTGTTCTAATAGGGGCTTCGCTGCTTATGACATATGGTCCATTACTAAGGTTTAGCCGATCATGACAAATTATGAAAAATATCAAAATATTCATTTTTTTCAAATATAAAATCATTTGCGGTGTATAATTGTGTAAATCGTCAAATATAAAGATTTTAATTAAGTCGCACTATATTTGACACATTTTAATGCCGGTCATGCGTCCAGTCACGTGGTTTAGAAGTTTGAACTTCTTTATCATTTGAATTATTCAATTTGAGTGACGCAATGTATTTTCTGAGTCCAAAGATTTAAAAAATTAATATAAATTTAATACAATTGAAAATTTCAAATATAAACAAGAATTTAATTATAGTCAAAACATCGTCAACTTTTTTTGTTTGCACTTTTTGCACGACGTTCTCTTATGGTAAGAATCTGGCAATCTTATTACCTATATTATGTAGGTAAAATCGTAAATCTAGGCATATCAAGTTATTAAAAACTTTATATGGAATTCAGTATACGCCGAAACAGTAATGCAATTACGCCATCTGCGTTAGTATGCATAACGAACATTCTTTTAATAAATTAAACATTATATTAAATATTATTATAATAAAAATTCTTTTTACGTTTTGCAAAAAACTTTAAAATTTTAAAAAATATATTTTGTACAAATACAAAAAGATTATTAATTGACCAAGGTTTTATATTAGATATACATAAATAAATGTATTACAAATTTTGTAAATCCGGGATTATCAAACATACCTTTAATAATTATTAATTAGACGTCAAAAAATTAAAAGGGGATAATGACTCGCGGTACAATGCGAAGGAGAAAATCTTTCCGTAACTAAAATTGTATTTACCGAAAAGTGCGGAAACTGAACCTAATTTAAATGTCTAATTATTTATTACCAACAAAATAAAATCCCTGAATATGTCTCGCTTTAGCCAAAAAATTTTCAAATTATGTATCGTAATCGTCCTTTCTATGACGATGATAAAATGTGAATTATGTGAAAATTTGTTTTTTAAAATGTCATTTTATTAGTATTATATAATTCATAGGATAAAAATATTATGTATATTATTGGGGATAAATTGTCATATTTTAACCCATTTACCCATTTGACACATTTCACTTTTATAATCACGACCGAAAATCAATTTGGCAGATAGATAAGTATTATTTGCCGTTGACGGTTAGAAGTAAACATGTGAGCTGCACAAAAATTTAAGACTATTGTGTATAAATAACGACATAGATTTACAAAAATAAATTAAAATTACTTAATATAGGAAACACAGGGTTTCACAACGCTCCTCATTCGGTAATCTTTAATTAATTATACATACAAGGATGTTTATTCTAAACCATTAGAATGAAGCTGTTTCAATATGAGAAGGGGAAATTAGTATAAATAGAATGAGCCCTCTTTGTAAATTTGTTTTTTTCTTTACACCAACATCTGTTTTAATGGTGTTTATGTGCGTGTAGAGAGAGAAATTTTGCTGCGGAAATTTCTTTAAAAAATAATATACTTATTTTTTTTATTATTGTCTATTATATTATTTTTTCTTTTGTTGGTGGCTTCAATATTATAAAACACACAATTTTTTTATGGAAAGCAAAAAAAAAAAAAGTTCGAAAATTTAATTATTTCTTTTTAAATTATTTTATTTTATTTTTTAATCGAATCTCAAGTAAAAATCAAAAAAAAAAAAAAAATCGTAACGAATATTACCTTATATATTATTTTTTTTAACAAAGTTTGTTATCATTAAAAAAAAAAGAGCAAGTTAAAAGAAAAAAAAAAAAAATTTTAATAATGGGACCTGAAATGTCAGCTAAATTTATCAAGCATTTATTTTTTATACAAATTCTCATCATGATAGGAATAGGAATATGTGGTAAGTCGTTATGAATTTATGAATTTCAATTTCAATTTTAATTAAAATATTTATTTTTATTTATTTTTATTTATTGATTTATTCATTTCCCGTTCTTTCTTTTCGTTCGTTCGTTTCGTTCGTTTAAACGAATTTAGAGGTAGTACAATTGGCGGAAGTTAATAAGTCTCAACAAGAAGTTATTCAACATCCGGAAGATTGGGACTACTTGTTTGGTTACACAAAAAGCATAGCGTAATTTTTTTTTTCGTTAATCTTCCTTTTATTAAAGAAATTAAATAATTAATTATTTTTATTTTATTTTTAGTACAATTTTTATAAGAATATATTATTGGATTATTATACTTGTTTCGTTCGGAATTTTAGGTGGGCAATTCTTTTTGAATTTTTTTTTTAAAAAAAAAATTTAAAAAATTTAAAAATTATAAATGATTAAATATTATTATTATTATTATTATTTTAATAGGATGGGCCTTGGATTCATTTAATAGAAGATGGAAAAATATTGAAAATTATAGTGATAATTCAAAAAATGTGTACGTATAATTTTTTTTTTTTAAAAAAAAAAAATTTTAACGTTAAGATCGACTTTATATGGATTAAAAAATATTTTTTTTTTTTTTTCGTAGAACGTTGCTTATACTATGGTGTTTTGCAAGTAAGCGCAAGATAATTTTAATTTAATATCGAATCGAAAATCTCAATCTCGAATCTCATTATTTTTTCATTAATTTAAGTTATACCAAGTGTAACCATTTTAGCAAGATCAGATAAATTGAGAACATGTTCCGAATCATCCTATTCATACACAGTGTCAGCAAGATTATTAAGTCATTGTAACGCATATTTGGCATCACTGTTTCTTGCATATATATTTATTATAACAGTGATAATTCAATTATTATTTAATTTCGTTGTAATTAAACATCAAAAAGAAATTAGTATGAAACCACCACCAAATTTACAAGAGCCAAAGAAAATTAAAGTTAGAAGAAGTAAACGTGTGGCTAAAAAGAGAAATAGTTTAAGATCGATTTCTGCTTATTCTGCAAGTACAAGATTAAGTATTGTCACCGAAGATGATGAAGAAAAAAGTAATAAAAGTAGTAGAAGTATTAGAAGTAGTAGAAGTACTAAAGGTGCCAAGAAAGTTAAGAATGAAGTCAGTCCCGAGATGAGTGTTAATGAAAATGTTTAAAGATTTAATTTAATTTTATGTAAAAAAGTGAAAAAGTTTATTAGGAACATTTGGTCTCTTTTCTTTTTTTCATTAGGTGGTTTGGGTTTGTTTAATTATTACTTTTCTTTTTATTATATATATAATAATAATTTTTTTTTTTTTGTTCTTTTTTTTTTGTGAATTCATTTTTTTGCATTTTTGCATTATTTTTAGATTAGAAAGTTTCTAGAACAAAATTGATAATTCTCAATATCAATTATGAATAATAATTAGTATTTATTTTTTATTCTTTTGAATTTGTGTGTAAAATTTGCATTTTAGTTAACAATAGGTTATAATATTTTTTTTTAATTTTTTCACGCATTTTTTACCACAAAATATTTTTTTATTTTAAATAATTCTAATTTTTTTCGGATCAGTTTCAACAAACAAACAAACAAACAAAAAAAAAAAAAAAAAAAAAAACAATTTTCAATTTGAATAAAAATCTTTTTTTAACATCATTTTTCTTTTTTTTCAAACAAAAATAAATCGGCAAATGTTATCATAATATTATTATATTATTATTATTTTCCAATAAGGTGAAGATATACTTGATTATGTTCAAATTATATATGTATTAGAATCTTTTTTTTTTTGTTTGATAATCGCGTGATTTATAAAAAATGGCGTAATTTTAGGATTTTAAAATAAATTTTCATTCGTCACTCGTTTGACAAATCGGATAACGCATTCGATATTTAATGCATTTCTAAAAGTCTAAAAAAAGACATAACGATCAACGGGATGCATTCAAATCACCGAAAAATATTTTGCCGACAAATGTTTCACAGAACAACGTTTCGCCGACAGGAATCTCATTGGCATAAATGGTAATCTTCAAATAAACATTATATTTAAAATGTCTTTTTTCGTATAAAAATTATAAAAATAATAAAAATAATAAAAATAATAAAAATATAAATTTTTTTTTAATATCATCCTAATTTAGTAATCATATGTAAAAACCTTTCAAATTTTTTTTAAAATTTTTTATTTGTAATTTGTAATTTGTAATTTTTTTAATAAATTTTCTTTAAAATTGGCAAAAATGAACAGTCACTTGTCGTAGATCATTTATCAAATGATTCTGTCGATGAAACGACTGAAACGTGTCGGTGAAGACCCGTGATCAACATATTATTTGAAATTTGATTTAAAAAAATTAGAATCGGGTCCATTTCAAATTTTTTTTTTTTGAAATTAATTTTGCAGGGTCAATAAAGAAATAATGACAAAAAACGATATGATCTTATCAAGACAAAGTTCCATATTACGTGTCACAGGCGCACAATTCCTTGCCCTGCATAGGTAACGTGATACAATAATTTTACGTTATCGAATCAATAATAAAGAATTAATTATTTGTTTATGCACATTAGATATGTTATGTAAGTTAAACTAACATAAATTATTAATTAAAATGGCTTTATGAATCCTTTTTTAGTTAAATTTGTTTTTTTTTTCTTTTTTTTCTTTCCTTTTTTAATTTTTGGATCACATGATCTTATGTTTTTTAAAAAAAAAATTTGTTCGATAAAAATAAAAAAAAAAGAAAATTCAAAAAAGAAGTAACCATTTACTGTATAAACAAATTTATAAACAAAATTTATAAACAAAATTTATAAACAAATTAATTATAATACCCCTTGAATACGAAAATATAATTTTTATTTATTCGTACAGTACATTATAAATATTATAAATAAGATTTGACTTCAAGATTTTTTAAAAGTAAAGTATTATTTTATCCTTGTAAGATTAAAATAGAAAATAGAGAGACGATGATGTTAATCCAACTAAAATTATTTTTCAATATTATGAAATATAAGATTTTTTATCGATTATTATCAGTTTTCTTGGATTCGCTTCCGCTCTTATTTTTAATTTTTCGCAAGAGAAGATAAAAGAATTATAGCATTAGAAGCATAAAATATTATTAAAACTAATAATTATAATGTAATTATAGTATAAGTTTTTGGTTACGTCATGTTATTATGTTTTTGTATCAAAATTGCCAAGCAAGGATGACGAGAGAGTATACGGTACACTGTACACAATGTATTGTTATGCGTATGTAAATCAAAATAAGTCGTCCTATTAGACAATTAAGTATATTTTTGTACTATAACTTTGTTCACGTTGAAAATAAATAAAATAAAAAAAATAAAAAATAAAATTAGACAATTAAGTATACATTTTTACAATAAATAAATAATTACCCAAAAAGAGATTCGGCAAAAAATGGGTTTACGCTATTTCCATATATAAAGTAAATTTTCTCCTTTTCTATTGCAAGCTCACAGAAAGTATATCAAGATTTTTATTCGAAATAATATTTTTTTTTTTATTGATTATTTATAATGAAGTATTTGATCCTTGAATTATTCTCGACTTTAAAAATTTCTATATTAAAATTTTCTTACATGATTTTAGAATTGACGCTTTTTTGTGCTTATTGTTCTAAATTATCAGCAGATCAAACATCGCTTAATATTCGCTTATGAAAAAAAAAAAATATCATTTCTTTAAATAGATTCATTTCTTTAAAATTCATCATTTTAGTTTTCTTCCAATTTCTTAATAGTGAACTTAGGTCGTTATTATTATTTATTGTTATTTTATTTTGTATTATAAAAAAAAATCACAATTTACAAACGATTTCTTTAATTTCAACGTCGTAATTTTAAAAGTCATAAAAAGGGAATCTGGCCTTTTTTTTTTAAGCACCACTCGATTCAATATCTACTACATCATTAATTTTTTATCATAAATACACAGTGAAATTCGATAAATCGGATCTTCGATAAGCCGGATTTGTGCCTAACTGATATTTATTCGCAAATCTCAATATTCGCTAATGTCGATAGATCGGAACACGTGATTGACTACCAATAAAATTGCAGAAACGTGATGCAATAATTCTTAAAATTTGGCCAGAATTAAAAAAATTTTAATTCTGACTGAAGTTATTAATATATTTATATTCAATAAAAAATTATTTTTTCATGAAAATAAAGATGGAATATTAAAATACAGTGTAGATTAGCTTTTTTTTAGAATACCGGTATATTATTTTTTTGAAATTCAATATAATGGGTTGAAATTTTTTTCGCTACATCAGAGAGAAGAAGCATAATTAAATCGTGAGAATTTCCACAACAAAAATCTTTACGAAAATATCCTTGTTATGTAAATCTTTTCAGTTACCTGATAGATTATATAATAAACAATTATATTTTTCATAAATGTTATTAAAATTATTTCGAAAATACGCTTCATAAGTTTCTGACTATTTATTTATTGATCATGGTTTAAATTTCTCGACGCAGATCATTACATCGGAAAAATACGGTCCGAAAAAACTATTTTTTTTTGATGTAACTTTGAACTTCTATTTTGATTATAATATTCCCTTTTTAGTAACTTATTTATGATGTATTAATAAAAAAAAAGATTTCTAAAAAGAATCGTCTAAAAAAAAAAAGATTTCTAAAAAGAATCGTCTAAAAAAAAAGATTTCTAAAAAGAATCGTCTAAAAAAAAAGATTTCTAAAAAGAATCGTCTAAAAAAATAAATTTCTAAATAAAAAGAATCGTCTAAAAAAATAAATTTCTAAAACAATTAAATGGAAACTAAATCAAATATCTCAGATAAAGACTCTGATACAGTAAATACCATAAATTGTTCATATTGCAATAAACCTTTTACTGAAGAATTATGGTGTAAAGAATGTATTAATTCTTTAGGAAAATTAGCAAAAAATGGGGATGAAAATACAATGTTTAATTTAGCCAATAATTATAGAAATGGAAAAGGAACGGAAAAGAATTTTGAAAAAGCCTTTCATTGGTATCAAAAAGCAGCAGAAAATGGACATATTGTTGCAATGTATAATTTAGCTTATAGCTATTATGATGAAGAAGGAACAGAAAAGAATTTAGAAAAAGCCTTTCATTGGTATCAAAAAGCTGCAGAAAAAGATCATATTGAAGCAATGTATAATTTAGCTAATAGCTATTATTATGGAAAAGGAACAGAAAAAAATTTAGAAAAAGCCCTTTATTGGCATCAAAAAGCAACAGAAAATGGACGTACTAATGCAATGTTTGATTTAGCTTATTGCTATTATTATGGAGAAGGAACAGAAAAAAATTTAGAAAAATCCTTTTATTGGTATCAAAAAGCAGCAGAAAATGGACATACTGGTGCAATGAATGATTTAGCTTATTTCTATTATTATGGAGAAGGAACAGAAAAGAATTTAGAAAAAGCATTATATTTGTATCAAAAAGCAGCAGAAAATAATATTAAAGAGGCAATGTTTAATTTGGCCATATGTTATTATTATGGAGAAGGAACAGAAAAGAATTTAAAAAAGGCCTTTAATTGGTATCAAAAAGCAGCAGAAAATGGACATACTAATGCAATGTTTGATTTAGCTTATTGCTATTATTATGAAGAAGGAACAAAAAAGAATTTTGAAAAATCTTTTTATTGGTATCAAAAAGCAGCAGAAAAAGATCATATTGGCGCAATGTCTGATTTAGCTAATAGCTATTATTATGGAAAAGGAATAGAAAAAAATTTAGAAAAATCCTTTTATTGGTATCAAAAAGCAGCAGAAAAAGATCATATTGGTGCAATGCTTAATTTAGCCAGTGGGTATTCTAATGGAGAAGGAACAGAAAAGAATCTCGAAAAAGCCATTTATTGGTATCAAAAGGCAGCAGCAAATGGTAATGAAAAAGCAATGTTTAATTTAGCCATTATATATTCTAATGGAGAAAGAACAGAAATAAATTTAGAAAAAGCCATTTATTGGTATCAAAGAGCAGCAGGAAAGGATCTTGATAGTGCAATGTTTAATTTAGCCAAAGAATATTATAGAAAAGGAACAGAAAAGAATTTTGAAAAAGCCATTTATTGGTATCAAAAAGCAGCAGAAAAAGATCATATTGGTGCAATGTTTGATTTAGCTTATTGCTATTATTATGGAGAAGGAACAGAAAAGAATTTTGAAAAAGCCTTTTATTGGTATCAAAAAGCAGCAGAAAAAGATCATATTTATGCAATTTTTAATTTAGCTGCATGTTATAGAAATGGAGAAGGAACAGAAAAGAATCTTGAAAAAGCCTTTCATTGGTATCAAAAAGCAGCAGAAAAGAGTCATATTGATGCAATGTTTAATTTAGCTGCATGTTATAGAAATGGAGAAGGAACAGAAAGGAATTTAGAAAGGGCCTTTTATTGGAATCAAACTGCAGTAAAAAGTAACAAAATGAATTCTAAAAATGAAGTTGAATTTTGTAATGAATGCGAGCAACCAAACACTGATTACCAATGGTGTCAACAGTGTAACACTAAGCGATTTCAACAAGATTTTTCAAAGTGGACTAGTAAAAATAAATTTATTGATGAATTTGTTCAAGAAGCACAGCTAAATGCTAAAAATAGTTATGAAATTTTAGAGTGGATACCTTATAACAAATTGTCAAATATTAATTATTATGATAAAGGAGGATTTAGTGAAATTCATAAAGCTATCTGGTTAGATGGACCTATTTTTAATTGGAATTTTGATAAACAACAATGGAGTAGACAAACATGTTATGAAGTTGTTCTTAAAATACTTAATAATTCATCAAGTTTAAATAGTGAATTTCTGAATGAGGTATTTATATTTAATAGCAAATTTTATTTCTTGTACAAAAGTTTAATGCTTTTTTTGTTATTTTTATAGTGGAAATATCATTATAATTGTCAGAAAAAATCATTTTCAAAATTTATTCAGTTCTTTGGATTTACCCAAGATCCAAATAATTTAAATTATATAATAGTAATGAGTTATGCAAAAAAAGGAAGTTTGAGAAAATGTTTATCTGATATAATTAAATTCAAATGGCAAGATAAGTTACAATTGTTGAAAAAAATTATATTAGGACTTAAAGTAATACATGAATCAAATTTAACTCATTGTGATTTTCATGATGGTAATATTTTAATATCAGATGATTACAATGAATTATTTATTATTGACTTGGGATTATGTAAACCTATAAGTGATTTTCAAAATTCTGATAATAATGAAGTATATGGAGTTTTACCTTATATGGATCCTGAAATACTAAGAAATAGACCCTATACTCGAGCAAGTGATATTTATAGTTTTTCAATGATAATGTGGGAACTTACATCAGGTATTCCCCCATTTAAAGATAAAGCACATGATCACCTACTTATCTTGAGTATTTGTAAAGGTGAACGTCCTGAAATTATGAAAAATACTCCAAAATGTTATATAGATTTAATGAAAAAATGTTGGGATTTAAATCCTTCCAATAGACCAACCATAAAAATGCTTGAAAATATTATATCTGAATGGATTAGATGTATTGATAAATATTATGAAGTAAACTGGGGTAGAAATCATAAATATGTACCTAATATTGATAATTCATTAAAAAATGATATGTCAGAATTTGTAGAAGCAAACGAGGCTTTAGTACAAGAACAAGCAAATATTTCTACTATACAATCTCATCCACAAGCATATTATGCAAGTCGCAAACTTACTGAAATTTTAGTTCAAGAAGTGACTCAGTGTTTTGATTGTAAAATTGACGATTAATAATTCTGTTATCCATTCTTTATTTGTTGGATTATTTATCAATTATTATATGTGAACAAATTATTTATATTACGTATCTTTGCATCTTTACAGTTTTGCAATGAAATGAACATTGATAATTAAATAATCATATAATTATTGAAATAATATTATTTGTATATTTATTCATTTGAATTTGTTTAGCAAATTTAATCCTATAAAAAATTTATTCCGTGTTTTTTTTATTCTATTCTATTTCCGTAAATATGCCATATTTACGGAGATTTTACGGAAATTACGGATAAGATTTTTTACAGAATAAGTCTAATGTATAAATCCATAATACTTCAATATTATTGTTTTTAGAGTATTGTTATGCAGTAAAATGTCACGTAGTAATCACATGATATAACTGGACCCGTGAGATGACCATAGCGTCGCCTCCAAAAAATGGTAGCCGGATTATTTTGCCAGTTCTTTAGTGTTAGGGTTAGGATTAGGGTTAGGATTAGGGTAAGGGATTAGGATTAGGATTGGTAAGGGATTAGGGTTAGGAATTCATCACATAATGTCACACCCTAACGTTTCTTTAATTTTATAATTATTCTGAGGACTTAGAAAATTTTTTATACGTAAAGTACTAAATGTCACGTATTATTTATCACCTCTCAATAATATATGTAACCCGGCAAATTAGAACCGGCTACCATTTTTTGGAGGTGACGCTAGCCCTATAAAAAATATATATACGGTTAGTATACTGTATTTTCGTATTTTGCGAACAGTATATTTATAGTATTATTACCGTATGATTACAGTATTTTCACATACTGTATATATTCGGTATTCTGCACACTGTATCATATATACGGTTTGCGTACAGTATATTTTTCCAGTTTTACCCGTATGTTTTATACTTGTAAACAGTAGAAAAACCGTATGTTTTATACTTATAAACAGTATATTGTTTTATATTTTATATTGCAAACAGTATACTTTTCCAGGATAAACCGTATATTTTATACTGATAAACAGTACTTTTTTCCAGTTTAAACTGCATATTTTGTACTGATAAATAGTATATATTATTCAATTAAATCGTATATTTTATATTTGCAAACAGAATTTAAAATGCATTTATAATCAATAAAATTTTTATTAAATAATATTAAATATACAAATATTTTTTATAAATAATATAAATAAAAAACTAGTATAAAATAATATACTATTTGTAAAAAAAATAATATTAGCAAAATATAAACAAAAAAAAAAAAATTTAATTAGTAATATTATCATTATTTTAAATATAAAAAAGAAATAATAAAAAGTTAGTAATATTATTAATATATTAGTTAGATATAAAAAAGTAATAAAACGATAGTAGTAATGTTAGTAATATATTAAAAAAATTAAATAAAATACATAAAAGTAAAAAAAAAATATAATTAATATATGTTAACATATAATATTAATATAAAAATAAAAACATAAAAAGGTGTACATATAGTTGTTTAATTAATATTGTTAAAATTCACCATTACAATTCTAGAGAGATATTAGCGAAAGTAATTGTTAATTGATATACGTGCGTATCACTTTTTGTATAATTAGTAGTTTAGTACAAATATATATATTGTATATTATCAAAATAAGTTTTTTATTTAATTTTTATTATTATATGTTAAAATAGTTTTGGTATTCATTTTTATTGTCTTTTTTTTTTCTAAAAAAAAAGAAGAGAAAAGAATATTTTTGAAAAAATAAACAAAAAATAAACAATAACGTGTTATTAATGCATGTGATCAGCGATCAGCTGAATTTTAATTGGTTAAATATAGAAATGCAAAAATTAAAAAGCAGAAGTATTTTTTTAAAATTTAAATCATACAGATTGTTTTTAAAGTTCAATTAGTAATTTAAAAGTTCTTTTTTTTAATAAGAAAATTTGTAAAAATTTTTTTTAATACTGCTTAATTTTTAAATTAGGCCGTTCCAAATTAAATGTTTGTTTAACGTCCATATTTTCTTAAAAAATCCAGGGGGGAGGGGGGGTCAAAATAAACAACATCAAAAAATAAACATATAAAATTTTATTTATATAATCAAAATTTATTGAGTGATTTATTAAGTAAAATTGATTTTATCTATTACCAACTTTAATTTTTCCTCTTGTTGGCCAATTATGTCCCTTATTTTTACAAGTTTGACAAAATGGGTATATAGTTGTAAACTTTTTCTTTAGATTATCATCTGGTTCTAATAATCCATCTTTTTCCCCACAATAAAAACAAATAATTTCTGTTTTTAAACGACGTCATGAATAATATACTGCTTCAATTTGACTATTACAATGAATCTTTTGTCTAATGTATACTTTTTCATAAAGATTATGTGCTTCGGGAGTTATAGGGGACCCACAAATATAAATTACATTATCTAATAAAATTTCTAAGCTAGTTTTTTCATTATCACTTAACATATTTTTGCTAAAAATACATCTTGGCTTACTGCAAATAGTACAATTAACAAATTTACGTATATGATTATTATTAATTATGCCAGCAGGAATAATTTCTTTAGTAGAATCAGATGCACTAGGAAGAAATTCTTTTGTTTCAGTACCATAGAGTCCATCAAAATCTCTATAATGATTAGAGTCTTATAAAATAAAATATTATTAATTTATAATGTAAAATTAAAATCAACTATTAAAATGTAACTGAAAAAAATGACAAAAAATGTACCAGTAGACAATATTGGATCAGGAATAAAATTTAAATTGTTAAATACATCTTCTGGTAATCGAATTGGTAAACAAAATTTACAATTATCCTTTCCACATTTTTTTATCTATAATAAAGTGTAATGTAAATTAAAATTATATTTATTATTAATAAATCTACTAAATTTTAGTTAAAAATACCTGAAAAGAATATGTTCTGATTTGACAGTGGGATTTTATAAAATTTTGGAGTTCATGATGCTTATTTAATGAATTCAGGGATGTTTCCTCTTGTTGTAAAGTGCTATCAATATAATGGATTGCCTAAATAACAAATTTTGAATTTTTAATATATTTTATTTTATAATAAATTTATATAACTAAATATATACCTCAAAAATTTTGTCAATACTTATTAAACTAGCAGGAGAATATATCCGAAAGTTTTTTTCATTTAGTGTTAATCGTTTAGTTCGTTCAGATAGTAATTCCTGAACTGGTTTAATAGAATTTCTCAGTTCTAAACCTAATTTCTTATTTTCTTGTGCTGCATTTCTAATTTCTTCTAATGTATTCTTTCCTTTAAATATATCTTCAAGAATATCATCCATAGAATCTCTTTGCAAAAACACTCCTTGTAAAGCTAAATTTAAAATAGACATTACACGTTCAGCTGGATTCATCCAAGAATGATATGGTGCTGTTCTTACACTTGCTAAAAAATCAAAATCCCCTTGTAAAAAAAGACATATTAACGAAATTTGTACTGATCCAAATGTATTTCTGTGGTCAGGTCCACCATCTGTATAAATTAAAAGAATTTCTGGCAGATTTTGTCCATTATATTGTTGCAAGAGAGTTTTATAAAATTCAGTAGAATGACGAAGAGCTGAACTAGGTTGAAATGCTGTATTCTTATAAGAGACATAAACTTGTCCACTATAAAATGATTCAGATATGCATGTAGGAATGTCACAAATAAATATTACAGAAGGAGTTAATGAAAGTTTTGTAAAATCGTGATCAGATGATGACAATTCCATATTTGCTGGTGTTAACGAAGACTTGTTTCTAACACCACTAGATGTTGCAATTCCTTCACCTATTGGGACTTTATGTTTGTCATCAGCACAAATTAAAGAACAATAATTACGATATTTAACAGCAAATAGTCGCATATATCTAAACAATGCAGCACAGTAATGAGCATCAACATGAAACTTAGATAATTGTCGTGATTGCACTTTATACTTAATTTCAAATCTTCCAGTATATTTAGAAGCTGCATTTTTTGTAGTATTTGCTGGCCAAAATTGTAATCGAATATATTCATCAGAAGGTATAAAAATTTCAGAACTAAGTGGTTTTCCATATTTTTTTTCTAATCTTTCAATAATAATTTTTTTGAGATCAGCAATTGACATTGCTACTGGTAAATATAATACTGATGTAGAGCGACGATCATGTACAGCTGGAACGATCTAAATAAAAATTATATGATGCCAAATTTTAATAAAAAATACCAGGTGTTGTAGCAATTGTTTATGATAATAATTAAATAATAGATGATAATATACCTCATTAAAGTATTCATTTAATTCATTCCAAAACATATCAAATTTAGTACCATGAAATCCATTATTGATTCTTAAATCCATTATAATATCTGCGTCTTGTAAATCCAAAATCATTCTAATTCTTTCTTGCATTTCTTTTGATAATTCATGAGGTGGCGTTGAGTTATCTCCTGCTAAATCATTATACAGGAGTTTCCATACACTTGGCGCCATTTTAGCAACTAAAGAATACTAAATAAATTTGTTATTGTTAGATTTATAATGTTAAAAGTATGAATTTTAAATATCATGTATTTGACAATACCTTTTCAGTAACATTCTTTCTCATTTGTCGTGTAAAATAAGATGGTATCATTTCATTTGCTAATGTTAACATTTTTGCTTCTTGACTTTTATCTTGTTCTGATATTGAATCAGGATTTTTCCATATAAAATTTAAAGTTCCTAAATAATTCCCATGATAATAACGATAAAGTGTAAATGTGCAATCCACGTTTAATTCATTTATGAAATTATATCGAGTTCTTTTTTCTTGAGGTAAATAATTATCTAATAAGTGTAGTTCATAAAAATTGGAATCTTTAAGAATATCAGAAATATTTTTAAACTTTGGATTAAAATTTCTTTGTTTATTTCTAATTTCCAAGGTTATATTATCTAATAAATTTTGGGTTTGTTCATTTCTTGAATGATTTAAAATCATTTCATTGTTAACTGACTCCAAATAGGTTATATATTTTCGAATATTATGACATAGTTCAAATACATTAGAAATAAAAGGTTTCCAGTTCTCTTGACCCGCCCAAGGTTGAGTAATAAAATGTTCAATTGCTTTCAAATGATCTTTTAAATTTTCTCGCATAAGTTGCTCTTTCTTATGTTTCCCAGTATAATAAAAAAGATTATATAATGATTTAATCTTGTATTGCGAAAGTGATAAGAAGATTTCTGGAATAATACAACTTCGCAAATTTAATTTTTCATGATGTGGATCAATGTACCATAGGAGATCAGTTAAAGCTTTAATAAATCCACTTCCAATACTTTCATAACTTCCCCCATACCACCCTAATAATTCATCTTTTAATAATTTAATCAGATCATTATAAAGTAAATCATGACGTGTTACAAAATTTCTTTCTTTAGGAAGTTTAGGAATTCTGTTGGTTTCCATTATCTTACTTAACCCATTAATACCATTTTGTCTGTTTCTTTTCTCTAAACTTTCTTGCTCTTTCAATGTAAATTTGACTTGACATGGTTGAAACTTTTCACATAAATTCAAATTTGCGCTTAAACCATATTTAATATTGGTCCAATTTTTTGTTAATTCATTGTAAAATTGAATGACTATTGGTTGATCAAATATATCATAGCCTAAAACTTCAAATAACAAATCACTAAAAGTTTCTGTAGACTCCATTTCCACTGCATCTTCATTTAATAATTTCGTTTCTTTGTAAACAGCTACTATGAACCACATTTTAAAATAATAATTGAAAAAGGAATCAAAGATTTGAAAAAGAGATCGATAAAAAAATTATATTCTAATTTGGGAAACAATACAATTATTAGATCGGCAATATCTTAATTCGATAATTACCGTAAATACTATTAGTAATTAAATCACATGATATGTAAAATCGAAAAAAAATGCCGAAACTGATAGTTCCGGCGTGAATTACCAGGCCATGTATAATAAGATCACGTGACATATATCCCGTTTGTTTATTTTTAAAAATTTTTCAAAAATGAGGGGGCGGGGGACGTTAAACAAACTATTAATTTGGAACAGCCTTATTTAATGGAAAAATGCTGAAACGGCATTTTTTTCACTTCTTTTATGAAAACATCGCCAAAGCGGCATTTTTTCATTTATCTTATGGAAAAATGCCGTTTTGGCATTTTTTTTCACTTCTTTTATGAAAAAAATTGCCAAAACGGCGGTTTTTCATATTATTTTATGTAAAAATGCCAAAACGGCATTTTTTTTCACTTCTTTTATGAAAAAAATTGCCAAAGCGGCGTTTTTTCATATTATTTAATGGAAAAATGCTGAAACGGCATTTTTTTCCACTTCTTTTATGAAAAAAATTGCCAAAACGGCGTTTTTTCATATTATTTTATAGAAAAATGACCTGAATACTTTCAGGTCAGACAGGTCAGGTCGGGTCAGAGCAGGTTATCTGACCTGACCCGACCTGATAAAAATTTTTCGGTTTGGGTCAGACAAATTACCCGACCTGACCCGACCGTGCGGAGCTCTATATATAATAAAATACGTTACAAAATGCATTGTAAAATCATTAAATAATTTTTAAATTGTAATATTTTTATAATTCATTTTAGATCATTATGAAATATATTACAAAATACATTGCAAATTCATTTTATCTTAATGGTTTTAAAATATTTTTCCTAATCCTTTATAATATAGATTACAAAATGATTAAAAATACTGATATTCATTACAAAATAATATTACAATTATATAAGTATTATAAAAATATTGAAAAATCATTACAATAGCATTTCAGAAAAATATTCATTTTTAGCTAAATCATTTCTTATCAAAAAAAAAATTTTAGAATCTTATTAACTTAAAAAAAATCAAAAATCTTATATTATAGCTTATATTTTTAATATTTTATATAAAAAAAAGTAGGGAACTGAAGTTAAAACAAATAAAAAATAATTTTTTCTTATGAAAAATAATTTTTTTTTTACTTACTGTTTAAAATAACCACGTTATATATTTATTAATTTTTTTTAACAAAAAAGTGATTGAAAAGTGATTGAAAAAAGAATTGGTTATTATCTTTGTTTTTGAATATAATAAAAAGAATTTTTTTATTTTCTGATAAATTTGGATTATCTGAATATATAACACATATTTAATTTAGGTTTATAAAAGTTAAATAGATAAAATTTTATGAAAAATTTAAACTTTACTAACTGAAAGTTTCTTGAAGTTAAATCAGATGACCTTTGATTAAATATGTATTAAATTTTTTGTGAACATCAGCAAGTTTTAAACAGGCGTATAAAGTGTTGAAAAATGCCATGTGTTGCTCAACACCAAAAAACGTAGGGAAACGAACCCTTTGTCAATCAATGCCACTTAAAAATGTTGAAAAATGTGTAAATCAATACTCATTTAAGTGTAAAACTACACATAGTAAAATAACGATAGTTTAAAAACGTGTATACATTGTATAAAAACACGTATATCGATATTAAAAACGCGTATAGCAACATATAAATTTTATTAATCGTAAAATATTGTAAATTTATTTATATATATAGTAGTAATAGTACAATAAAAATACATTCATTATCTATCTAACTACACTACAAATTGATATTTCTCAGTAATGTAAATTGTCAAATGTTTAAAACTCTTGTTATAATTGGATTGCCACAGATTTTTAAGCGATCAATATACTAAATTTCTGTTGACATAGCACCCCTGGTGACACAACCATAACAAGGTGGGGTTTCGATTAAAAAAAAATACAATATTAAAAGTTTCGTTAACGAAACTTACACGATCTGATTCATATTTCAAAAAGCCTACAAAAAAGAAAAAAGGAATCATTAACAAACATTTCCTAAAAAAGTTAACTATAAATTAAGTTTTGCAAAAATTGCGAAACTTACCATTTTGTCTACCAGAAAATCCGTAGACCTACAAAAATAAGAAAAGAAACATTAGTCAACGTTTCTTAAAAAAAAAATTATAAAATAAAGTTTCGCAACGTTTTGTTGCAAAATTTACCTATTACCATCCGCAATTCAAAATCTGAAGCCTAATAAAAAAAAGAAAATGGAAATGTCAGTAAACATTTCCTAATTAAAAAAATAAAAAAAATGGGTTTTGTAACGAAAAAATGTTACGAAACCTACATTATCTGAATTTCCATATTTCCAGAAACTGAACCTATAAAAAAAGGAGAAATGTTCAGTTAGAACGTTTCTTACTAAAGAATAAAACAAAAAAAATGGAAGTTTCGTAACGAAATGTACGAAACTTACCATTTTCCAAAATTTCAAGTCCCAGAGGTTGGCCGAACCTACAAAAAATAAGAGAAACGTTCAGTTAGAACGTATCTTAAAGAAAAAAAACAAAAAAAAAATGGAAGTTTCTTATGAAACTTACCGTTTAAAGACCCTTTTCTAACATTAAGTTTTTTGAAACCTAAAAAAAGAATAAAGGAAACATTAGTAAGAGTTTCCTAATAAAAAAAAATTAAGTTTCATAATAAAATATTACGAAACTTACCCAATCATTCTTCCGTTCTAAACTTGCTGATCCTACAAAAAGGATAAAGGAAACATTTAGTAAACGTTTCCTAATAAAAAATTAAAAAAATTAAAATTTCGAGGGAAACCCTTCGAAACTTACAATATCCAAGATCCGAAGTTTGAATACGCTGAAGGTCCTACACAAAAAAAATATAGGAAACGTTAGAAACGTTCCTTATAAAAGAAATTAAAAAAAAAAATTTTTTTAAAAAGTTTTGAAGCAAAATGCTTCGAAACTTACCCTTTCCTCTGTTTTCCAAAAAAAATCCACAAAAAAAATAAAGGAAATGTTAGTATAAAAAACTAAAAAAAAAATTTTTTTTTAAAAGTTTCAAAGCGTAAAATTACGCTTCAAAACTTACCCTTTTTCCTGCTTTTCAAAAAAAAGACCTACAAAAAGAATTTAAAGAAACGTTAGTAAACATTTCTAAAAAAAAAATTAAAAAATAAATGAAGTTTCACAACATTTTATTGCGAAACATACCATAACATTAAAGTTCTTCAAAATCCCGTTTAGAAAAGAAATCCGCAGACCTAAAAAAGAAAGAAAAATGAAACGTTACTAGTCACATTTCATTAAAATAAATTAAAAAAAAAATAATTTTACCTGTCCGTGAATCATCCAGGAAGCGGTCCTAAAAAAATAAAAAAACGAAACATTAGATACGTTTCGTTAAAAACAAAAAATTAAAAATTTTGAAGGTTTACCTTCAAAATTCCCGTCTGTGAGCCATCTGAAAGTTGCGGTCCTAAAAAAAACAAAAAATCAAAACGTTAGACACGTTTCGTTAAAGACAAACAATTAAAAAAATTTTGAAGGTTTACCTTCAAAATTCCCGTCCGTGAGCCATCCAGAAAGCCGCAGTCCTAAAAAAAATAAAAAATCGAAACGTTAGGTACGTTTCGTTAAAAAACAAAAAATTAAAAAAAAAATTTCAAAACGTTTTTTAACGTTTCGTTAAAAAATGAAAAAATTGGAACGTTAGCCAACGTTCTGATTAAAAAATTAACAAAAATTATTTTGAAACGTTAAAAAATATTTCGATTAAAAAATTAAAAAAAAATATTATGAAACGTTAAAAAATGTTTCGTTAAAAGAAGAAAAAATAAAAAAATCAAAACATTAGCTAACGTTCTGATTAAAAGAAATGAAAAAAAAAGTTATTAATGAAATGTTAAAAATGTTTCANGTTTCGTTAAAGACAAACAATTAAAAAAATTTTGAAGGTTTACCTTCAAAATTCCCGTCCGTGAGCCATCCAGAAAGCCGCACAATTAAAAAAAATAAAAAAAAAAGTTATTAACGAAACGTTAAAAACATTTTGTTAAAAAAAGAATAAAAAATAAAAAATCAGAACGTTAGCTAACATTCCGATTAAAGAAAAAGAAAAAAAAAAGTTATTTACGAAACATTTTTCAACGTTTCGTTAAAAAATGTAATAAAAAAAATAATCAGAACGTTAGCTAACGTTCTGATTAAAGAAATTAAAAAAAAAGATTAAATGAAACGTTTTTCAACGTTTCGTTAAAAAAAGGAAATAAAAAAATAATCAGAACATTAGTCAACGTTCTGATTAAATAAAATGAAAAAAAAAGTTATTTACGAAACATTTTTCAATGTTTCGTTAAAAAAATGTAATAAAAAAAATAATCAGAACGTTAGCCAACGTTCTGATTAAAGAATTAAAAAAAAAATATTATTTTGGAACGTTTTTCAATGTTCCAAATAAAAAATGAAATAAAAAAATTAATCAGAATGTTAGCCAACGTTCCGATTAAAGAATTTAAAAAAAAAATTATTTCAGAATGTTTTTCAACGTTTCGAATAAAAAATGAAAATAAAAAAATTAATTGGAACGTTAGCCAACATTCCGATTAAAGAAATTAAAAAAAATTAATAAATCAGAATGTTAGCCAACGTTCCGATTTAAAAAATTAATAAAAAAAATAATAAATCGGAACGTTAGCCAATGTTCTGATTAAAAAAAAAAAGAATAATATTTTCGAAACGTTAAAAAACATTTCGTTAAAGAATGAAAAAGTAGTTTCACAGTTTCGTTGCGAAACTTACCAAAAGTTCAACATTTTTCCATATAAGACTCATATTTCAGGAATTAATGACCTTATATTACGGAGTTTACATAGTTTTTGGATAAAACTTTTTATAGGGATGAAGGG